GATTATATATGAACTTAGTAAGGACTTACCCCAGTAGCTCATACGGGATTGGTAATAGGCATGATCCGATTATATGAACCAGGGGATGGACCTATTATATGTACTAGGAGAGACTGAAGCCAGCACCGTTCGTAAACTTTGAATCCGACTTGATCCGACTGCAGGCGAACGCACACATGTGGACTTAAGTTCAGCAACTGTGTTTGAATAGACTTTTTGATTGAAAAATTATCTGTAAAAGTTATTTATATCTCAAGCAAGCACGTTGACCTCCCTGGCACTTGGTGCGTTTGTTTGCCGAGTTAAGTCAGCAGTGTTGAGAAATAAATGTTATTCTCATTTTCTTATCTTAAATATCTCTCTCTTCGTGTTTTTCTTTTTTTCAGTTTTCTTTAGCATTTTACCAGTTTATTAGCCATTAGGGCAGTTGGTTTGTTCTTTGTAACTTTGTTATGAATTTAATTGTCAATTCTTAGTATAGGAGGAAACGACGTTGGGAAACTGTGTTATTTTGTTGCGACACATTATATAACACCATACTCGCGTCCGTCCAGGGCCTGCAGGACTCGAACCTAGGATATAGTGGAGAGAGATACACTCGTTGCCACTTTCTTCTTTCTTTATTTATTGCACGTGGTGTTATAAGTGTGTGTGTGTGTGTGTGTGTGTGTGTGTGTGTGTGTGTGTGTGTGTGTGTGTGTGTGTGTGTGTGTGTGTGTGTGTGTGTGTGTGTGTGTGTGTGTGTGTGTGTGTGTGTGTGTGTGTGTGCTCTACCCCCATACCGACTCCCCACAGCACCATCCCTTCCCTCCCCCACCCCCTCCAGCGTTGAGTTACGCAATTAGCTGCAAATAACATCCTGGCGTCGGTAGTTGCCAGCCTGGGAGTGCCTCACACACGCACACACATGTATCCAAAATTCTGAATCGTGTTTGGTGATGTGAGAATATATCTAACTGGCTCACGTAACCTACAGCAAGATACAGGAATAACTCAGAAAATCGTAGGTTAAATAATTCTCGTAAGTGGTGATGTAGGAACGTATATATTCACCTAACCTAACCCTACGACTCATAACTGTATTCTCAAAATATCGGCGTTAATTTGTATTCAATTTAACTATATGTAAAAGGAACGCCATCTAAGTTAAGGTAGAGACTCGCTGCAATTTCGATGTCATTTTGCAATCTGTTCGTTAAGTAGGTCAATCACGTGCTCAAATTACCAGTCAGGAAGAAGTTCAGTCAATAGGAAACCTTGTGACTGTATCATTGGTGCCGTGGCTGTTGTAAATATATATCCCCTGCCGTTGATAATCTTACCATGGCAACGTAATGTTAGGTAAGAATATTAAGTGAAAATATTTATATACAATTACCGATAAAGAGATTAAGAATGATGTTTGTATTTTGTTGTTTTGATGTTTTATAAATAGCCAAGCCACCCCCTCCACCCCCTCCCCCCCCCTCCCTTGATTGCTATGTTATTTGTTATGTGGATTCGTTTGTTTACGGGTTCGCTCGAGTGTTTACTGAACGTCGTACCTGAGCGGAGAGTTAACGTTCCTAAGAGGCTCTGTCGTACACCCCTCACCTCATTTCTCTTTCAATTTTATTTTTAATTCTGTCATTTATTCCCTTTATGTTATCATTTCTTTATTCTCGTTTTCTCTTTCATGCTTTCACTGACTTTCCTCTTCTCCTTTCCAGTGCTTTTTACCTCCTCTCCTCTCCCATTTTCTTTATTATACTGTTTTATCATCACCATTACATCTTCCCTTCTTTTGTATTGTTTTTAATCTTTCCTACTTGACTACTCACCCTTTCCCTTGTCTTCCTTACCTTCTCTCTTCTCTTCCCTCTCTTTCTTTCTCCTTCTCCACTCAACCTCCTCTCCTCCACCCCCCCAACCATTTCTCCTCTCCTCCTCTCCCTTTTCCCTCTTCTCCCCATCCTCTCCTCCTCTCCCTTTTCCCTCTTCTCCCCATGCCACCCCCTCCTCTTCTTCCCATTCCTTCCCCTTCCCAAATCCTCTCATCCCCCCTTCTTTTCTCCCTCTCTTCCCTCCTCTTCTTCCCACATCTCCCCCTCTCAAAATACTCTTCTCCCTCTTCCCCCTCCTCCCTCTTCCCTCTTCCTCGTCTCCCCTCCTAAATGTTATTCCCTAGGGGGGAGGAGGAAGGGGAAGGGAGGGGAGGAAAGAGAGGAAAGGCTACCATGGAAATCACACATTTGGGTTGGCTATACGGTGTTGATAACTGTGTTGCTTTATCGTCAGTTCATCCTGTTCATGTGAGGGTGAGGGGAAGTGATGGGGGGAAGGTGAAGTGATGTGGTGAGGGGGATGATGGGAGAGGGGAAGTGATGTGGTGAGGGGGGTGGTGGAGGATAGTGAAGGGCTCGCTCTCTCTCTCTCTCTCTCTCTCTCTCTCTCTCTCTCTCTCTCTCTCTCAAAAAAGAACAGTTTCACGGACTTACGTGTAACAAGATCCATATGATAAACTTTTGGGCCAAGTTACGTCAAAATTACCCAACTATTGCCATGGTAATGCTTGGCTCAGTGTGTAAAGAAAACGGTGACGTGAGACAGTTTCCAGCGATGACTATTACTATTTCTACTACCGATACAGTACACAAACATTAATTTACAGCAAACAGCATCATTAATTACATTAATTACATATCAATACTAAATAAATGCTATTCATATTTACTTATTTATTTATAATTTTAATTGACTTATAGATACATTAACGTTAATTAATTCCTCTTAGTAATTAACTCAGGAAATAATCTTAATTCCCTTAAATTCTGAAATATAAAATAAACAAAATCTTATCTATTTAATTTCTATGAAAGATAAAAATTCATGAAAATTCCAATATCATTTATTCTCGTAAAATACACACGAGTGAATTTAAATTCCCCTGTGTGTGTGTGTGTGTGTAATAATAATAATAATAATTAACGGTTTATTGAAAAAGTTCTGCAGCTCGAAGGCTGAAAATATACATTGGGCATAAATGACTTATTACATACATTGGTGGTTTAACAAAAGCCTTCATTAGAGAAAGGTAAAGGAACATACAGTGAACATACAGATTAATGTAGGTGTTGAACAGCAAAAACGTAGTGTAGTAACTCCCTCCCAGATGGTGTTAGGAGGGACCTCACGTGGTGTAGTAATTCCCTCACAGATGGTGTTATGAGGGGCCTCACGTGGTGTAGTAATTCCCTCACAGATGGTGTTATGAGGGGCCTCACGTGGTGTAGTAATTCCCTCACAGATGGTGTTATGAGGGGCCTCACGTGGTGTAGTAATTCCCTCACAGATGGTGTTATGAGGGGCCTCACGTGGTGTAGTAACTCCTTCACATATGGTGTTATGAGGGGCCTCACGTGGTGTAGTAATTCCCTCACAGATGGTGTTATATGAGTGAGGTGTGGTTCCAGGCCTTCCTATCGTAGACGGATTAACACATCGCTGGTAGTTGGGCCGTTATCACTGGGTACCTGGGACCTCACTGTGTGAAAGGTCAACTTGGGTACCACTGTTACTGTTGAGTTGTTCTCACTGACTTAAGCACTGTTCACCACTGTTCACCTCTGTTTAATACTGGTTCCATTTCTTTCCTAAATGAAATAGTAACTTCTGGCGTGAACTTGTTGATATTCCGGTGGGGAGGAGGGTTCAGGGGAGGGAGTTGGTATGGGCCAACATAACAGTTGACCTGGCTGCTCCGAGAGGAGCGCCAGGTACGTCTTGACCCTTCGGTGGTCAAGGATGTAGTGTGTGTGTGTGTGTGTGTGTGTGTGTGTAATAATAATATGTAATAATTAACGGTTTATTGAAAAACTTGTGGCCAGAAGGCTGAAAATATACAGTTACATATTTGGGGAATGGGTTGCAATTACAAATAATATACAGTGACATAATGACTACAAATAAGACATATAAGTAACTTAGATGGGGATCAGCTCAAACTACAGTTCATTTCAACATAGTGACAGCAAGGAGCAGTGTTTACTGGGGTGAATACACTGATTTATTACATGTTATTGATAATTTTACAATGGTTGGGACTGGGCTGTTCTTATAGCGATCAGTTCGTGCACGTATGGGCTGGATGCGGTTGTGGTGTGTGTGTGTGTGTGTGTGTGTGTGTGTGTGTGTGTGTGTGTGTGTGTGTGTGTGTGTGTGTGTGTGTTTTTACTGTATTGGTTTTGTTTGTTTTGTGTATATGTGTGTGTTTCTGTGTCGTGTGTGTATGCATAAATGTTTGCGTGTGTATGTATGTATATTGTATTGGTAATGGTAGTAGTAGTTTCAGTAGTATAGGTAGAATTAGTAATAGCAACAGTAGCAATAGTAGAAATAAATAATAGTAGTTAGTAGTCGTAGTAGTAGTATAGGTAGAATTAGTAGAAATAATAATAGTAGTAGTAGTAGTCGTTATCGTTATAGTCGTAGTAGTAGTAGTAGTCGTTATAGTCGTAGTAGTAGTAGTTAGTAGTAGTAGTCGTTATAGTAGTAGTAGTAGTAGTAGAATGAACAGCACAAACAGATGTAGAATATAGAGTGTCAAAAGTATTTAACTAGTTATCAAAGGGTTAATTAATGAGGCACATGATGACCTGTCGTATGACCCTGTTACCTGCTGGGTGTACCTGTACCTGTTACCTGGTGGAAATATACTGTACCCCGGCTTGTGATTTTAACATATAATAATAATAATAATAATAATAATAATAATAATAATAATAATAATAATAATAATAAATGCTGTTATCTAGTAGAAATATCTGTACTTGTACCTATGCTTCTTCCTCAAAATCTACCTCTACCTTTACTGTTATATCTGAAACGATGCCTCAATCAGACTCAACGAACAAAACATCTATTCTCTTATCTGTTATCAGCCGATGTGGTGATAAGTTATCTTACGTGTCTCTCTCCCTCGACCGTGCAAAGATAACATGTGATTTTGTTTCCTTCCACAGGAGTCGAGGATGGTACGGTGACAAGACCTGGGTGTTAAGACTCTTCCTTACCGTGGAGGGGCTTACCGGCTTGAAAATCATTACGACACGCCCAGGGGGGAAGATAGTCGTCCAGGGGGATAGATAGTCGTCCAGGGGGAAAGATAGTCGTCCAGGGGGATAGATAGTCGTCCAGGGGGAAAAGATAAATCCTGAAATATTATTTTTAGTAAATATAGGAAAGAAAAAGTCCGCACCTCACCCATTAAGATGGTGTTCCTAAAGACGATGTTGATGAGGCGCCGCGGAGTTATCCTGAAGCTGGTAGTGACGCTCCCTGCCCTCTGGTTACTCATCAGTCTCGTCACCCTCTCGGAGAAGACAGACAAGAATGACGGCATGGATCTCCCTCCTGCCGTCAGAATCCAAAGACAACCAACAACAACAACAACAACAACAGCAACAACAACAACAGCAGCAGCAGCAGCAGCAGCAGCAGCAACAGTTTCAGGACGCGAGGGATAATAAAATCCTGAAGGTGGATAGCCTGAAGGACCTGGAGGATCGTCTTGACAGGCCCCAGCCGCCTCCACCCGTCAAAGTTCACAAACCTGAAGTTAAACTCACCAGCAAGACACAGGAGCCGCATGAGGTGAGTCCACAGGTGTAACAGACTCTCCTTCCTCATTAGTAAGGTAGCTCAGGTGTGCTATTTGAGGATCACCTGATGATTAGCTCCCCCAGCTTATTACACCGTAGAAATAATGATCATAACGCTATACCTGGTGAGGGGTCAGGGTAGGTTAGGTCAGGTTAGGTTAAGTTAGGTTAGATTATCACTAGAATGGTTAGGTTAGGTTAACACTAGAACATTTAATCTTAAAGTGAAATAAAATGAAGGGCCTAATCTTCAGGTGAACTATATTTAATTCTAGGAGGTCTCAGAACACCTGCTGAGATACGAAACTACTGAAGGTTAATGAATCCTGAGAAGGTGTCCCAGGAGTTAAGGGGAGTAGCCGGTCTTAGAAACTCGCTGATTGGTTAAGAGGATGAGTCACAAGTTCATTGATTGGTTAAGGGGACGAGTCACAAGTTCATTGATTGGTTAAGGGGTCGAGGCACAAGTTCATTGATTAGTTAGATTACATGTGATAGATATTATTATTGTCTCTCTCTCTCTCTCTCTCTCTCTCTCTCTCTCTCTCTCCTCTCTCTCTCTCTCTCTCTCTCTCTCTCATTTTACACCGCCTCTCTCTCTCCCTCACTCCCCCACCCCCCCCTTCCCTCACTAAACATTCCCTCTCATACTCCCTTTTCCCCCTCCCTCTCTCCCACAACTCAATCTCTCCCTCACTCTCCTGCAGATACACGCAGAACAGGGCGTCCTCCTCCCTCCCCAGGAACCCAATGGCCCTGGGGAGATGGAATGCCGGTGGCACTACCCAAAGACCTTGACCCTGAGGTGAAGAAGAAGGTGGATGAAGGCTGGAAGAACAACGCTTTCAACCAGTACGTCTCTGATATGATCTCCGTGCATAGAACCTTACCGGACCCGCGCGACGAATGGTGAGTTTACCTGTGTTTTGTTTACCTGGAGTGTAATTAAGGGGTTAAGTAGAGGGGTACCTTTAGTTACTTTGAGTTTACCTGAGTTTACCTGTGTTTTGTTTACCTGGAGTGTAATTAAGGGGTTAAGTAGGAGGGTACCTTTAGTTTACTTTGATTTTACCTGAGTTTACCTGGCGTTAATTATATATAGTTTACTTGAGTTTAATTAAGGGGTTAACTGGAGGCTACCTAACTTTACCTGGAGTTTACCTGGAGTTTCACGTGGAAGCTAGATTGAGTTCAATTGGAGTACTGGTTGATACTCTTGTCTACTAGTTTACATTGGTCTCTCTCTCTCTCTCTCTCTCTCTCTCTCTCTCTCTCTCTCTCTCTCTTTTCCCAGACTAAGGGGAAGTTTATCAGGCAGTAAGACATGTCCAGGGAGCTGGGGAGTTTGACGTAATGGTGGGGAAGAGCTCTGACTACCTCCCCAGCATACTAAGTGATGTGTGCGTGTGTGTGTGTGTGTGTGTGTGTGTGTGTGTGTGTGTGTGTGTGTGTGTGTGTGTGTGTGTGTGTTGGTTGGTTAATCCTCCCTGCTTCGGCTTCCCTCTTTCTCCCTCCCTCCCCCCTCCTCACCTCTCCCTCACCCCCCCCTCCCTCAGTAAATCTCACCTCAGTTAGTTAAGAACACGAACTTCACTCGGCGTAAATTACAATCTGTTTGTTTGTTTGTTTACCTGACTTTTTGTTTTGTTTTCTTTCGTGTGTCAATAAACAGCTGAAGTGAGGCTCAGCTAAATAGAGTAATGGTTAGTGTGTGTGTGTTTGGCGGTGTTTGTCTGTTTTGTCTGTCTAGTTTATGGGTGTGTGTTTGGCGGTGTTTGTCTGTCTGTCTGTCTAGTTTATGGGTGTGTGTTTGGCGGTGTTTGTCTGTCTGTCTGTCTAGTTTATGGGTGTGTGTGTTTGGCGGTGTTTGTCTGTCTGTCTGTCTAGTTTATGGGTGTGTGTGTTTGGCGGTGTTTGTCTGTCTGTCTGTCTAGTTTATGGGTGTGTGTTTGGCGGTGTTTGTCTGTCTGTCTGTCTAGTTTATGGGTGTGTGTTTGGCGGTGTTTGTCTGTCTGTCTCTGCTCTAGTTTATGGGTGTGTGTTTGGCTGTGTTTGTGTCTGTCTGTCTAGTTTATGGGTGTGTGTTTGGCGGTGTTTGTCTGTCTGTCTGTCTAGTTTATGGGTGTGTGTGTTTGGCGGTGTTTGTCTGTCTGTCTGTCTAGTTTATGGGTGTGTGTGTTTGGCGGTGTTTGTCTGTCTGTCTGTCTAGTTTATGGGTGTGTGTTTGGCAGTGTTTGTCTGTCTGTCTGTACTCCAGATTTTATATAGGTGTGTGTTTGCTTGGTGTTTGTCTGTCTGTCTGTCTGAGTTTATGGTGTGTGTTTGGCAGTGTTTGTCTACTGCATCTTGTCTGGCCCATAGTTTATGGGTGTGTGTTTGGCGGTGTTTGTCTGTCTGTCTGTATAGTTTATGGGTGTGTGTTTGGCGGTGTTTGTCTGTTTGTTTTGTCCTAGTTTATGGGTGTGTGTTTGGCAGTGTTTGTCTGTTGTCTGTCTAGTTTATGGGTGTGTGTTTGGCGGTGTTTGTCTGCTGTTTGTCTGTCTAGTTTATGGGTGTGTGTTTGGCGGTGTTTGTCTGTCTGTCTGTCTAGTTTATGGGTGTGTGTTTGGCAGGAATGCTGTCATCTGTTTAGTTTATGGGTGTGTGTTTGGCGGTGTTTGTCTGTCTGTCTGTCTAGTTTATGGGTGTGTGTTTGGCGGTGTTTGTCTGTCAGTCTGTCTGGTTATGGGTGTGTGTTTGGCGGTGTTTGTCTGTCTGTCTGTTTAGTTTATGGGTGTGTGTTTGGCGGTGTTTGTCTGTCTGTCTGTCTAGTTTATGCTGGTTGTGTGTTTTGGCGGTGTTGTCTGTCTGTCTGTCTAGTTTATGGGTGTGTGTTTGGCGGTGTTTGTCTGTTTGTCTGTCCTGGATTTGGGTGTGTGTTTGGCGGTGTTTGTCTGTCTTTATCTGGATTTATGGGTGTGTGTTTGGCGGTGTTTGTCTGTCTGTCTGTCTAGTTTTATGGGTGTGTGTTTGGCGGTGTTTGTCTGTCTGTCTGTCTGGTTATGGGTGTGTGTGTTTGGCTGTGTTTGTCTGTCTGTCTGTCTAGTTTATGGGTGTGTGTTTGGCGGTGTTTGTCTGTGTCTGTCTAGTTTATGGGTGTGTGTTTGTGTGTTTGTCTGTGGTTTATGGGTGTGTGTTTGGCGGTGTTTGTCCTGTTTTGTCTGTCTGGATTTTATGGGTGTGTGTTTGGCGGTGTTTGTCTGTCTGTCTGTAGTTTATGGGTGTGTGTTTGGCGGTGTTTGTCATCTGTCTGTCTGGTTATGGGTGTGTGTTTAGCGGTGTTTGTCTGTCTGTCTGTCTGGTTTATGGGTGTGTGTGTTGGCGGTGTTTGTCCTGTCTGTCTGTCCTGGTTTATGGGTGTGTGTTTGGCGGTGTTTGTCTGTTTGTTTGTCCTAGTTTATGGGTGTGTGTTTGGTGGTGTTTGTCTGTCTGTCTGTCTAGTTTATGGGTGTGTGTTTGGCGGTGTTTGTCTGTCTGTCTGTCTAGTTTATGGGTGTGTGTTTGGCAGTGTTTGTCTGTTTATTTGTCTAGTTTATGGGGTGTGTGTTTGGCGGTGTTTGTCTGTTTGTCTGTCTGGTTATGGGTGTGTGTTTGGCGGTGTTTGTCTGTCTGTCTGTCTGGATTTATGGGTGTGTTTGGTGTTTGTCTGTCTGTCTGCTGTCTAGTTTATGGGTGTGTGTTTAGCGGTGTTTGTCTGTTGTCTGTCTGGTTTATGGGTGTGTGTTTGGCGGTGTTTGTCTGTCTATCTGTCTAGTTTATGGGGTGTGTGTTTGGCGGTGTTTGTCCTGTCTGTCTGTCTAGTTTATGGGTGTGTGTTTGGCGGTGTTTGTCTGTCTGTCTGTCTAGTTTATGGGTGTGTGTTTGGCGGTGTTTGTCTGTTTGTTTGTCTAGTTTATGGGTGTGTGTTTGGCGGTGTTTGTCTGTTTGTCTGTCTAGTTTATGGGTGTGTGTTTGGCGGTGTTTGTCTGTCTGTCTGTCCTGGTTTATGGGTGTGTGTTTGGCGGTGTTTGTCTGTCTGTCTGTCTGGTTTATGGGTAATGTGTTTGGCGGTGTTTGTCTGTCTGTCTGTCTAGTTTATGGGTGTGTGTTTGGCGGTGTTTGTCTGTTTGTCTGTCTAGTTTATGGGTGTGTGTTTAGCGGTGTTTGTCTGTTTGTCTGTCCTAGTTTATGGGTGTGTGTTTGGCGGTGTTTGTCTGTCTGTCCTGTATCTAGTTTATGGGTGTGTGTTTAGCGGTGTTTGTCTGTTTGTCTGTCTAGTTTATGGGTGTGTGTTTAGCGGTGTTTGTCTGTCTGTCTGTCTAGTTTATGGGTGTGTGTTTGGCGGTGTTGTCTGTCTGTCTGTCTGGTTTATAGGTGTGTGTGTGTTTGGCGGTGTTGTCTGTCTGTCTGTCTAGTTTATGGGTGTGTGTTTGGCGGTGTTTGTCTGTCTGTCTGTCTAGTTTATAGGTGTTTGTTTGGCAGTGTTTGTCTGTTTGTCTGTCTAGTTTATGGGTGTGTGTTTGGCTGTGTTTGTCTGTCTGTCTGTCTAGTTTATGGGTGTGTTTGGCGGTGTTTGTCTGTCTGTCTGTCCTAGTTTATGGGTGTGTGTTTGGCGGTGTTTGTCCTGTCTGTCCTGTCCCTGGTTTATGGGTGTGTGTTTGGCAGTGTTTGTCTGTCTGTCTGTCTAGTTTTATGGGTGTTTTGTTTGGCAGTGTTTGTCTGTTTGTCTGTCTAGTTTATGGGTGTGTGTTTGGCGGTGTTTGTCTGTCTGTCTGTCTGGATTTATGGGTGTGTGTGTTTGGCGGTGTTTGTCTGTCCTGTCTGTCTAGTTTATGGGTGTGTGTTTGGCGGTGTTTGTCTGTCTGTCTTGTCTAGTTTTATGGGTGTGTGTTTGACGGTGTTTGTCTGTCTGTCTGTCTAGTTT